GGAAAAAAAATGTGCCCGACATGTGTGATAGGGAGTGTGGAACCGTCGCCGACAATGATGCGACGATCGGTAGTGACGGGAGTGAAGGAGGCAAGATTATCAGGATGAGCAAACATGTGAGCCGTAGCCCTGGTGTCTATGTACCAATCATCACCTCCGGAGTAGTTGTTCAGCGTAGGAGCGGCATGCAGCCCGGTGAGGAGCACCGGGTCCCAGGGCGTCGGCGGCAGGGCCAGCGAGGGGGACGGACACGCCATGGGGAGGCCGTAGCCGCCGCTCAGCTGCGGCGGTAGGTATTCTCCATACAGTTGCGGAGCCGCAAAGTACGCATGATGCATGGAAGGGGTGGGAGCCTGCTGGCCTACCGACGACCCCACCAGTACTTGAAAGACTCATATGCAGGCAGAACCCCGTACGCAGGCGGAGACCCGTACATGGATGCGGGCAAAGCTCTGTATGCCCCGTACGTAAGATACCCGTACGTGGGAACGGGCATGTCGTAGGTGGTGGCCGCCCCGTACGGCAGCGGGGCCGCGCCGTAGGGCGCCGGCGGCGGGACGGCAGAGACGGTGGTGGACAAGCCGACGGATGCCATCTCTGGTCCGCGCCAGCAGACGCCGAGTACTTCCGGCGACGAACGACGATGACGAACGAAGCAAAACGCTCGATTCCGATCAACCCCTCGGTGCAAAGCCAGCCTCAAGTAGCTGATCGATCTTTCCTTGGACGTGTACTAGTACTAGTACTAGTACGTGGGTACTAGTACTTCCGGCTGCAACAATCACGGGAGACACGTACGGAGTCAACTAGCCAATCGATCGTTGCCTTGATCGATTCCAGCACCAATAGATACGCACACCACTTGATTGTTTGATGGCCGCAGGCGAGCGATGCTGGCGAGCGGATCGGCGGATTAGGCGAGGCTGGCGGCGCTGGGTAGCGCGCGCGGCGCGCGGCTGAGGAGTTGGGTGGGGTGTGCGGCGCAGCTGGGTAGCGCGCGGCTGAGAGGAGCGGCGGCCGGCGCGGAAGACGCGCGGGCGGCGGCGCGGCGGTGCAGGGGAGATGCGCGGCGGCGGCGGCGGTAGCGGAAGGCTAGGGTTAGAACCTAAAAACTGATATCATGTATGTTGTTGGTATTGCACAATGTATTGCTCATGTGCAAAGGCACGTATATATGATGTACAAGAGGTGGGTCATGGCCTCAGCTATACAAGGAACTAGAAGGTAGGCCCAATACACAGATATGCATAACACATATACTCAACAGAAATATCTTCACAACAAGACTTCCTGTGGATGATGCATGATTGCTGAAGACTTTGTTCAAGTAATTAAATTGACCTTATGTGCCAAGTTGTACTCCTAGACTTGTATTCCTTGCAAGTCCTTGCGTCTATACTTAGTACCTATGAAGCTAGCGAAAGATCGATAAAAGGAAAGCCTGCAGAACTGCAAAACCACTCACCACTTCTCTCCCAAAGTCTAGCTATGGGTAGCTGCTTGCCATGGGGATTATTGTCTTCGATATTAGTACTATTTTTGTCGTTACAGTTCATGCTTCACCTGTCCTCTGGTTGCTTCGTGGAGGAGAGGGCTGCACTAATGGATATTCAGTCCTCCCTTATGAGAGCGCGCTCCTTGGGCGTGACTAATTCATGGGGGGAGGATGGTGATGACTGCTGCTCGTGGGAGCGTGTGAAATGCAACAATACAACACAACGAGTGTCTCATCTCGATCTTTCGTACATATTTGTGACTAGTTCACACGATCATTGGTATTTAAACTCAACAGTGTTTTCTGCATTACATGAGCTTGAATACCTTGATCTATCAAACAATTATCCCTGTTCACTAGCCTTGGAAGGTGCGTATGTGTGCTTCAAATTCTCTTTTTATAGAACAATATGTATGTGCAATGACTTCTTATTCTCGTTGATATACAAACAAAAACACCTGCAGGATTAGTTGTACTATCCAAGCTTCGATATCTTGACTTTAGTGCTACTACACAGGGAGGGGGTTTCCCGGAATTTCTAGGGCGCATTGTTTCACTGGAAGTTCTAGCTCTCAACGGTAACTACATGACCGGAACTCTTCCAAGCACAGGTAGAGATTTGTGCTTATTGTAGGAATACTAAGGTAGACATCAAATTTTCATATTAATAATTCGTCTCGCATGCCTGCACATGTTGCAGCTACTAAAAATCTTAGAAACTTGCGACAATTGAACATGTCTTTCAATAGCTTCGATGGAGACCTCCCGGAATCGCTATTTGCACTTCCGTGGGCAAATTCCAATAAATTCATCCTCAGGACCACTTTCACTTGAAGTCTTGGATCTCAGTTATAATAGCCTCAACGGAACTCTTCCAATTTTTACAGGTAGATATTCTTATTTCATGTTTTATTAGTATGTGTTACCTGTAACAATTATACTACTTGCACGCATTGCAGACTTTATAAACATCAAGACCTTGAACTTGGGTGTCAACCAGTTTAGTGGATCTCTTCCTGCGTCTTTATTTGCACTTCCTCATCTTGAAATTTTAAATCTCGTATCTAATAAGTTGAGTGGAGCTCTTCCAAATGAACAAGGTATTCCTATCAGAAGAACATTTACTGCGTATATCAGAAGAAAAAAAGTGTAACCATTGATGATAACTATTGTTACATGATTTTTCTACTCCTGCAGCATTTCGAATTCTCAAGAATCTACGAGAGTTGTATTTGGCAATCAACCAGTTCAGTGGAAACATTCCAGCATTCGTGTTTTTGCTTCCACATATTCAACAATTGGATCTCTCATATAATTGCTTTGGAGGACAAATTCTGATAAATCAATCATCAAATCTTCCATCGTCATTTAAGGCTCTTCAGCTTTCCGGCAACAATTTGAGTGGTAGATTTTCTTTCATTTGGCTTAGAAACCTCACAAATCTAGAAGTGATAGACCTTTCAGGCAATTCTAACCTAGTTGTTGACGGGCATATTCCTGGATGGATCCCTTCGTTCCAATTGAAAGTGCTATTGCTCTCTGGTTGTGACCTTGACAAGAACATTATTGCAGAACCACATTTTTTACGCACACAACGTCATTTAGAGATGCTTGATTTATCCAACAATAACTTGTCCGGTAGCATGCCGAGTTGGCTGTTTACAAAGGAATCAACACTTCAGTATCTAAATCTTGGAAATAACTCACTAACTGGATCGATGGACCCAAGGCATACCCAACCTTATCTGTCCACTATCGACATACACATGAACCAAGTCACAGGACAGCTGCCAGACAACATTGGCTCATTGTTTCCAAGATTGTCTGTTCTTAATATTTCTAGTAACAACATCGATGGGAACATACCAAAGTCGTTGTGCGAGAACATTTACATGCAATCTTTGGACATGTCGAACAACAAACTTTCTGGGGGAAGTTCCAGCTTGTATGGGAGTCATACAACTTGCGTTTGATGTGTAGTTTGGTTCTAAAACTTGCAAAATACGGAATTGCGATCATATAACTTGTTCGCACATTCAAATACGGTGCTTCCTCTCGTATCTGGACGTATGGCCTGCACATGTGGCCTATCAGCATGGCGTAGGCCCACCTGTGGCGGCTGGAAGCATTTTTTTTCCAGATAACACCCTTGCATTTTATTTACTCACGTACAAAATCAGTCAAATAAAATGAAAAAAAGACACCGCAGTGTGGATCAAACGAATGATCCCCTACTAAACGACTAGCATGGATAGCCACCAGACTAATCATGACTCTTGTTAAACTTTCACAACTATACATGATATGTCCTTTGAAGACCATACAAAATAATATCTAAATCTGAACGGAAGATTGTGAGCCCCATGGTTCAAACCTTTGTGTCCTGCTGGTGGCTGGCTGCATGTGCATGGGCTAACCATCCGACCATGATGACACTTGTTACTATAAAGGGACCCAAATCTTTGTTGTCTAATTTTTTTTTCTTTTACTTATGTAAGAAAACAACATATGTTTTTTTAAAAAACTTAACAATTTATATTCTCATGTATTTTGTTTTTTCTTTATGTTGCCTTTGCATTTTACATTGTTCACAATTAGCTGAAGACAGACTAGATTTTTGTTTCTTAGAGATAAATATAGATAAAAGTGTTTTGTGTTGTATAGTTTCAAGTTTATGAGCCCCAAGTCCAGCCAGCTATATATAAATTTTCTTTTGTGGGAAAGCTATATTTAAAAGTTAGGTACTGTGTGCAAATTTGTAGTCTTAGCCACCCTTTTATTATCTACTAGGGATACTGCCAGCTCAACCTAAATATAGTAAGTAATCTTAAGCTACATCACGATGAAAAGTTTCACTATTCCACAGAAAATTTAGAAAAAACATAATTTAGTTTTGGATAGACATGACATAAGAACTGACAACATAAAAATAAAATTTGCAAGGTCTGACAGCATAAATGTTGTTTGTCCATTTAAAACATGAAGTGTGATAGGTTATCCCACTCACACGCGAGCTTCATTCAGAAGGTAACAGGTTCGAACCATGGTGCTCGTGTCTTCCGTCTAGATTTAAAATTTAGTATAATTTGTACAGTCCGTATTTATAGGATATATAGTTGTTTTTGTAAATACTAAGCGTCTAGCCAGCTTTGTCTGGTGGTAATGTATGTGAGTAACTGGGCTGCAGATTGTGGGATCAAATCCCTATTGTTGCAGTTTTAAATTTTATTTGAGGAATTTTGTGTGTAAATAAATAAAATGAAAGGGAGTTATCTGAAAAAAAATGCTTTCGGTCATTGACAGGCGGGCCTACGCCGTGCTGGCACACCACGTGTGCAGGCCGTACATCCTGAAATGGTAGAAAGCACCGTATTTACACAGTGAGACAAGTTAAGTGACCAAAATTCCGTATTTTGCAAGTTTTAGAACCAAACTGCACATCCAGCACAAGTTCTATGACTTGCACTGATATTACCTCTTCACTAATTATCAATGGCTATCCACAATGAAGGTCTCAAACAACAGGCTTGGTGGTCTAGTTTCTGGTGGGATGAATAATCTGTCCAATATGAATGAACTGTACCTGGACAGGAACAAATTTGAAGGGACAATACCATATAGTTTGTCAGGTGTTTTAAAAGTCATGGATTTGAATGATAACGAGCTATCTGGCAATCTTGATAACTCATTATGGAATCTATCTTCTTTGGTAGTCCTGAATCTTGCTGGCAACCATATAACCGGCAAAATTCATCCACAAATCTGTGGCTTCATGGGACTTCACTTTTTAGATATATCAAGCAATAATCTTACATGGTATGTACCAAACTGTATCTTTATACAGCTCAATTTTGTTAACCTGTCTGAGAACTCGTTTTCTGGCGATATCTCTTTTCCCTTTTTCAACACATCAAGTCTGATTTCTTTGGATATCAGACACAATCAGTTCACAGGCAACCTCCATTGGGTACGTTATCTTGACAACATTAGGCTACTTACGTTGGGCAGAAATAAGTTCGAAGGGCCAGTTAATCCAAAAGTGTGCAAACTCATGTACTTGAGGATAATTGATTTGTCCCATAACAAGCTTTCAGGTTCATTGCCAGCATGTATTGGTGATATGTCTTTCAAAGGCGACACAGACGATCAAATGTTGGAGCCAGTCTATGGAGAGATATACAATGGCTCTTCATATGACTTACGAGGCTTCACCTTTGCCTCCAAGGGGAATCTCTACACATACGGTCGAAGTTTCTTCGCTTCAATGTCTGGCATCGACCTATCTGCAAACATGTTGCATGGAGAAATTCCTTGGGAGCTAGGAAATCTAAGCCATGTCAAATCCCTTAACCTGTCATACAATTTCTTTGTTGTCCCGATCCCGATGACCTTGAGCGGCATGGAGGAGATAGAGAGCTTGGACCTCTCCCACAATGAGCTGAGTGGACCAATACCTTGGCAGCTAACTCAGTTATCAACATTGGGGGTGTTCTCTGTGGCATACAACAACTTGTCAGGATGTATACCAAACTCTGGTCAGCTAGGCTTCGGCATGGAGAGCTACCTAGGTAACACCAACCTTCACCAGATTACACAGGGGGACATGTGTGCTGCTCCCAGTCCAGATCCTGCTGCCGGGAAAGAAGTGGAAGAGACGACCGGTGACCCAGTTCTATATGTGGTCACAGCTGCCGGCTTTGTGTTGGCGTTTTGGGCCACTATTGGATTCTCGTTTTACCATCCTTACGGAAGATCAGTAATGCTCAAGATGTAGTGCTCGAACAATTATGCAATGTAAGCACATTGAAAGTATTACAATTATGTAGTATGCACTACAGTGTTCCTATTCAAAGAAAAAAGATTGGCCTAGTTGTGTATTTTAAGTGTATGTAAGTACACATACACTGAGCTTCCTCAAAAAAAATTCTGGGTATGCAATGTAATTATATTTTGTATCAGATTCTAACTTTTTAGCACTGAGAATGTACCAGATGTACTTGAGAGAAATTAGAAATAAAGAGCGATCTTGCACTTCTCACATAAAGTCAGAAGTTAACATGTAGAATCTTAGCACATACAAAAAATGGTGGAGGTTCATGCATTCGTACTAGCAAAGTCGCCGCTTCCTTCTCTTGCTTGTTCTTGACGACCTTTTACCCTTTCCAGAATCTGATTCCATGGCCAGTGGCACCAACATACCTCCTTTGAAATCATCAGCATGTGAACTCGTCGCAATAGACTTTTGTAACTTGATGGAATATTTGAAGTCTTTTATCTACAAGGACTATATAGGTCATGTTAACGAATGCCCCTTGTACGTGCTAAACCCACCTCCCAAAGATTATAGCTTTTACAAGAAACAGTAACAAAAAAAAATATAAGAACATCTTCTTCAACTGTGCTCTCTTCCTATGGATACAGATTCATCAAAAAAGGATACAGGAAACTTATGGTATTTTAGAATGGAATAGATATGAAAGGAGAATATTCAATCAACCTTTAAGTAAGATTGAACATCAATATGTATATAGTTCAGCAAATCAATTCAAGTATCTATGTTCATAATGTGCACCAAAAAATGCATTATTTAATTTCCTTGACATTATAGGTCTTGAATGTAGCGCAGCTGCTACCATTTTGAGGTGGAAAGATCAGAAAATATCTTTCCTCTATTCCTTTCACTGTCTGGCGCCATATATCCTGGCTCTTCGTGTGTTTTTCATTCATCTACAGGGTAAGTCAAAGGACATCAGCTACACCAACATCCAAGCTGGTTGGTGTACCTCACCATCAGCTACACCAACACTCCAGTTGTTGGTCTAATTTATGGTCTAAGTTAATTCTCGAAAAGCATGAACGCACTATATTATGAAATGGTGGGAGTAGTAAATAGGGACAGGGAGTAACATGCTTTTCCCTTTCTAGAGCATGTTTTGTATGTATATTTCAACTAGTCAATTATAGATGCAAATGGATGTCGATCAATAGATACATGGACATACTACCTATATATAGTACTCCCTCCGTTCCTAAATATTTGTCTTTTTAGAGATTTCAAATGGACTACCACATTCGGATGTATATAGACATGTTTTAAAGTGTAGATTCACTCATTTTGCTCCGTATGTAGTCACTTATTGAAATCTCTAAAAAGACAAATATTTAGTAACAGAGGGAGTATGTTGCAAAGACCTCACAAGAATGGGCAAGGGTGCGGACTCTTAAGTTTAAGGGTTTTTATCATTTATGCCACTACTTGTGTCCCACTACTCAGTTTTGCCACTAGGAATGTGTAACACCCATAATGCGGCTATATCTCCCACGTGTCGGGGCATGACTTAGAGGCATAGCCGCATGATAGGTTTGTGGGGTAATCTTCAGTCTTCACACAGTCTCATATACTGAATAAGAAAGGGATAAAGAGTTGGCTTACAATCGCCACTTCACACAAATACAAGTTAAACATACATCATCCAGAATACAATCAAGGTCCAACTACGGAACCAAAATAAAAGAAGACAACCCCAAATGCTAGATCCTCGATCGTCCCAACTGGGCTCCACTACTGATCAACAGGAAACGAAACATAACAACGAACAAGATCTTCATCGAGCTCCCACTTGAGCTCGGTTGCGTCACCTGCACTGGTATCATCGGCACCTGCAACTGTTTGAAAGTATATGTGAGCCACGAGGACTCAGCAATCTCACACACACGAGATCAAGAATATTTAAGCTTATGGGTAGGATAGGGTAATGAGGTGGAGCTGCAGCAAGCAATAAGCATATATGGTGGCTAACATACGCAAATAAGAGCGAGAAGAGAAGCAATGCAATGGTCGAGAAGCTAGAAGTGATCAAGAAGTGATCCTGAAACTACTTACGTTCAAGCATAACACAAGACCGTGTTCACTTCCCGGACTCCGCCAGAAATAGACCATCACGGCTACACATGCAGTTGATGCATTTTAATTAAGTCAAGTGTCAAGTTCTCTACGACCGAATATTAACAAATTCCCATCTGCCACATAACCGTGGGCACGGCTTTCAGAAGTTCAAACCCTGCAGGAGTGTCCCAACTTAGCCCATCACAAGCTCTCACGGTCAACGAAGGATATTCCTTCTCCCAGGAAGAACCGATCAGGCTCGGAATCCCGGTTACAAGACATTTCGACAATGGTAAAACAAGACCATCAAAGCCGCCCGAATGTGCCGACAAATCCCGATAGGAGCTGCACATATCTCATTCTCAGGGCACACTGGATGGGCCAGACGTCGGGTTGTCATAGACCCTGGTTGCCCAGGGGACGCCAGACATCGCCCAGTTCGGACCAACACTTAGAGAATCACTGGCCCGGGGGAGTAAATAAAGATGATCCTCGGGCTCGCGAAAACCCAAGGGAAGGTTATAGGTTGTTAGGAAAATGTAAAACCAAGGTTGGGCCTTGCTGGAGACGTTTTATTCAAAGCGAACTATCAAGGGGTTCCCATAACACCCAACTACGTAAGGAACGCAAAATCAAGGAACATAACACCGGTATGACGGAAACTAGGGCGGCAAGAGTGGAACAAAACACCAGGCATAAGGCCGAGCCTTCCACCCTTTAACAAGTATATAGATGCATTAATTAAATAAGAGATATTGTGATATCCTAAAAAATCCATGTCCCAACATGGAACAATCTTCATCTTCACCTACAACTAGCAACGCTATAAGAGGGGCCGAGAAAAAGCGGTAATATAGCCAAACAACGATTTGCTAGGAAAGGTGGGTTAGAGGCTTGACATGGCAATATGGGAGGCATGATATAGTAAGTGGTAGATAGCGCGGCTTAGCAATAGAGTGAACAACTATCAAGCAAAGATAGAAGTGATTTCGAGGGTATGGTCATCTTGCCTGAGCGCAAGGAAGAAGAACGAGTCCATGAAGAAGACAAACGGACGTAGTCGAACAGATCCTCACAACTCCGGAACGAAACCGAAGCTAACGAGAGAAGCAACCCGTAAAGAAGTAAACAACATGGTAAATAACCATCACATAAACATGGCATGATGCACAAGCAATTATGATGCATGTCCGGTTTAAAGAGGCATGGCAATATGGCAAAGTGCAACAAACAACACTACAACAATTATTTAGTTCTCTCCCGTTTAAGTACTCAACAATATTAAATGTTGGTTAGCATGGCAAGGGGTGAAGCATAATAAAACTACTTATCTAGGCAAGTTTAAATGAGGTCGGAACAACAAGCAACAAATCCGAAAAATCCTCATGTGCATATTTTGGATTTGGTACTGTTCTGCCCTAAACCATATTTTAGAGTTGTTAAACATGCAAAGCAAGTACACCATGTTAAACTAGGCATTTTCCTACCCCATTTACATATAAAGTTTATTAAAATCGGAGCTACGGTTATTTAGTTATGAATTAAATCATTTTAACATATCATTCATGCAAAAATAATGCAAACAACAAGTTTAAACATTTTAAACATGGATGGAAAAGACATTTTATGAAACTAGATAAAAAAACTAAGCATTTTACATATATAATGTTTTTACATGTGATGCATGGTCGGTGAGTTAGGATATGCATGAAACTTAGGGAGTTTTCTGTAAAATAGGCGTCTCTGGATAATTACTAAAATCGATGGACAGGAAAAAAAACATGAAGGGCTGAAATTTGGATTTACTAGTCTGCTCACCCCGGGCTGAGGCCCAGTTCGGTGGAGAGGCCAAGGCAGGCCGGCGGATCTGGTGGCCCATGGCGTAGGCGAAGCAGAGGATGGCTCGCGCGGGCGACGCGGCACTCGTCCACGCTGGCGCTGGGACAAGTCAACCAGGGCGCGGCGCTGGCCTTCTCGTTCGAAGCAGAGGATGCGAGCAGCAGGGACTTGGCGAAGGCGGTGGGACGGCGGCCGGCGATGCTGTTGACCGCTACCTCCGGCTCAAAGCGAGGACTGCAGAGGCTAACGGACGGCAAGGAGGGGTTTCTCCGGCGAGCGGCAGGATGGAGCTGTCAGGGCCCCGATTCCAAGTCACATAGATCTAGCCGGTAACACCTAATATCACTTTGCGGCCTCACGCACGGTATTCCCACGGGTGTCGCCTTACCATGGCTCGGGACCGTTTGCGCCTTTTGGCTCACGTATACGATGGTGTCGCTAGCATCCATAAGACAGAGAACCCGGGCCGACATCACTAGTCGTGAACCCAAAGTGGCACTAACTTACGGGGACATGCATACATGAATCAACATCGAGCATGTTGGTCAGCAGCGTGCGAATCCGGGCTGTAGCACTGGGCTAACAAGACTCCGGTGAACCGGGCTGTAGCAGGCTAGGCAGGACTCCGGATGTCACCACGTGACATTTCCCCGAAGGGACAGACACAGGAACGAAGTGAATCACATGCCGGCCAGTCAAGTGTTCCGGAGCAGTAGTGTTGTCTAGCAGGACTCCGCTGAATCGGGCTTTAGCGGACTACTATGGCTCATGAAAGCACAAGACTACATTTCCCCATAAGAGAGGCTACCAAGGATAAACAACTAGGTTGTCGGATCTCACACATACCAAGCATTTCAATCATACACTTAATATGCTCGATATGTGTAAATACAATATGACATCACAAGAAAACTCTACGACTCAAGTATTTATTCATTAGGCTCCGAAGAGCCAAGTATTATAAACATGGGTCTCATGAACCAACATACAAAGCATACAAGCAACAAGCACATGCGGAAGCTTAACTTGTCTGAGTATAGACATCTACA